AGAGGTACCAAACAACGGGTTGACATTTTCTGAGCAGTTACTGTATACCACGGTAATTTACGAGCCCGAGAGAATTTATTCTCAAAACTAAAAATGAAAAAATAATCGTGTCACCCCCCTCTCTTTCCACCTCCTTCATGCATCTGTAGGCCAGTCATTTTCTGGCACGCTGCAAGACACACGCAGTATATCTGTCCGTAGTGATGTAGGAGAGGACAGCACTGCGTCCGACATAAGTGCGAGCATTGTGGACGAAGTGGAAACCAAGTGACACGAATCATGAGAAGCTTTTGACCTGTAGCTAAAAGGTTACCAGGAACAGACACATCAAGTCCTCCGACTACGCTATCTACCTCAGTTTCTCAGCGAAACAAACAGATTCAGCAGCGGGAAACTGAGTCTGATGAACACCACTATCCCTGACTCCCTCGAGGAGCACTATTTGAAGAAGCGGTGGTTGGCCATCTCACCGACCAGTACTCGGTCGGATAATTGTACCGCAATGAAGTGCGGAACTCTTGGCCGGGATGTACAATGACATTGAACGTGGCGCTAATAGTAATGACGTCGCTAAGATTTCGGCTTGGAGTTCTCCAGTCTTGGCAACAAATATGACGAGCACCTTTGATCCGTCGGGGTACAGTGTACCCAACGGTTTCTTCTGGCAACAGACGGCGACTGAGACCGCGGGAAGTTGCCTGTGCGTTAGGATCTGCCAAATCCAGATCATCCGGAGCCCAAGCCAGGATCCGTAGCACAGGACAAAATAGTAGTATCACACTGCCAGATGCAGCCAGCACACGTGTTGGTTGCGTGCCACACAGATCGTGCGCATGCTGGCTGCTCTGGCATGCAGACTCTGCCACACTCTGCACAGATAGTGGGACGTGGCTACGGACCATCCATTCCGCAGCCGCGTCCCCCGACATTTAGCTTATGAGCTGACTGCCCCTGGTAGCGAGGAGCAGTTAGCCCATTCAGCAATTTCCATTTTAAGCGTCAAGCGCCTGGGCGCGACGTGCCTCGGCCGTGATTTCCGGCACGGGGGCGCCCGTGCGCCATGGACACCGAGCGGCTCGACACGCAGACTACCACTACGTTCTACCTGGACATGCAGACTACGATTACGTTCTACCTGGACATGCAGACTACGATTACGTTCTACCTGGACATGCAGACTACGATTACGTTCTACGTGGACATGCAGAGGTGCCGTGCACGGGCGCGACGTGCCTCGGCCGTGATTTCCGGCACGGCGGCGCCCGTGC